CACACTCACTGTCTAATGATGAATCAGAGGATATCGATTTGTGATTTCCGTTATTGAATAGAGGAGATGTCACGCTACTAAGGACAAACATCAAGTTCTGATATTTCACAAATTTAGACATGTGCTTGTTGCTCTTAAAAAACGGGCAAAAATATAGTTTATTTTCAAAATTCAATATGTTGACAGAAGGAATACTGATCCAAAAATCTTACCCTGTTTAATTCTTTCGAAAGAACAAAAAAGTAAAGATATTATTTCTTATTTAGCATGTCAATTTGGTTTATTATCAACTAGGTTCCCCATTGAAAGTCTTGTTGGTCTAAGAACAGCCTGTCCTGATGATTTAAAAAATTTAGATGTGTTTGAACTTAAAGATGAAATTACTTTGATAGAAGCATCGAAAATGTTTGTTCGTGGAGCCGTAAGTGGAGCAATGTGTGATTTTAAAACAAAATGTGCGACAAAGCACTGTCCATGTAAAAAAGCAGGAGTCGCATGTTCAACAAAATGTCATTCAAAAAGAGGTGCACGTGAGAATACAAAATAATATCCAAAAAATGTGAATCTTCTCATCTTTCTTTTTCTCGTCTTGCCAGATAGTCCAGAGCTTACTTTTATTCTTTTTAACTAATGAAGAGAGATGGAAAACAAAAACAAAATCCCCCAAAAAACAGTACTACTTAGATATCATGCCACCTTTACACGGTTAAGTAGATAAGTATCGGCTATAAGCTACAGAATATAGGCAAAAATCATCCTAGGAAATACATCTGTAGTCTATAGCCGAGAAACCAAGAGCGTGATAATACTACATTTAGATTTGGTTTTAATTGATATGCCACTTCTTCACTGGTTATATCTCACATTTGACTGAGCTTAGTTTTGGCTGAAGAATTGGTAGCCAAAACTAGAATCTCAGTTTTGGCTAGGCAAATCTAAGATTTGACTGAATTCCAGTTTTGGCTACAACATATACGTTTATTCTGGCACAGGAGCTGGGTGTTACCTAGTACATCGGTAGAATAGGTACTTACCAAACCGTTTCTTCTGTTGTTTGCTACTGAGATTTCTTGTTTTTACGCAGCAGGAATACGTACTTACTATTGAATTTGCGTATTAATCATCGTAGTACAATCCCCTCACCCTAATCACACTTACCGCGAGCACCACTCATCCATCACCACCGTCCTCAACTTAGCAGCCCTCCGCCAACGGTGTTTAATAGAAAATTGATATTGTGTTATAACAATTATTAGCCGCAGATATAGACAGTTTTTGTTAAGTATTGATCTTAAACCATAATCGACAGTTGTTTTAGCATTCCAGTATACAAGCGTTTCATAATGTAAGCATATCAGAATTTAAGCATTCCAGTGTATAATCATTTGGTTTATTTAAGCAGTTAAACCACTGTGATACATATTCGCAACAACAGTTATAAGTGATTTATTACATTTCTGTGTCTGAACACCGTTAAAAGCACTGTTAAAGGATTGTTAAAGCGGTATTCCAGTACATTTATGTTTAAGCATTGTGTATTAACGTAGGAACGTGAGGAAAGTGCTTGAAAACAAAATATGAAAAAGAAAACTACCGGCAATTTAGCAAAAAAGAAAAAGCAGAGAGATCAAGGGCAAAAAGCGTTTTTGGAATGGTAGAATGGGTCGGAGTGGACCACATTGATGCTGAGTGAGAATTTCTATTTTTCTGTAGGCATTCTTAAGGTCCTTGTCCCCTGCTTCCTTCAGAGAACGTTTTTTTGACAATTTTTTTCGATTTTCCATTTCCGATGGATTTATGTCAAGCTGAAAAAAGTACATTCCGCCACTTCGTGAAGTGTCGAAGTGCTCGGAGTGCCATGGGCTTAAGAAAACTTTATTGAACTGAACTATCCCAGAAATCTCTGTTCCCACAAGCAGAACAAAAAGGTTCTGTCTGTGAGAAAAGAATTCACAGAATAGAACACAATTGCTCGGTTATCAGCGAAATATTCCCAACAAAAGAACATGATGGTTCTGTTTTGGGAAGAATATTGAGAGCATTTTGGAATGGACCAGAATGGGCCGGAGTGGCATTTTCAGAGGGCATTTTTGGACAATTTTTTGGATTTTCCATTTCTGACGGATTTATGTACTATCGACTGCGTACTTTCAGAAAATAGTGCTTTCAATACTGTTTATAGCTTTATTGTGATTGAAAGCTGACGAGGGAACATATCCAACTGTCAAATCGCTTTTCTAACGAAATGCGGTAGCCTATAGGTAATCGATCATGCTGATTCCGAATATGATAGCCGTTTTGGTTAATAGGCCTTTCCTAATCGGTTTCTGGAAAACCAGTTTTCCAGAAACCTCGAAAAATCCCCAAGAATTGTCTGATTAAGTCATAACTGTAGCCCGCGAAATTCTGATCAAAATGAGACATCTCCCAGCTCTACACGATCTTTCTTTGCAAAGTTATGGAATTTACACGAAAAGCCCTAAATGTTTATTGTCACCTCAGAGCTACAGAAAGAAGAAGGAAAGATGAATTTAGGCTT